CTAATCTTGCTTAATAAGTAACATCTAGCAACTAACTAGAATCCAACTGTAACCCGTAACGATCTACCCTCGACCCTAAAGAACCTAACTGTAACCTGTGGTAACCTATCTTGGACCTATATGTAACTCGTGGTAACCTAACTTGGACTAATACGTAACCTACAATGACCTGACTTGGACCCTAAGTGACCTAAGTATAATCCGTGATGACACTTCTGAATATAGTACTATTAATCGATAATTATTACTACCTACGAATTCAGGTTGTGCTACTTACCATCAAGATTTATGCTTGCGGTGCTGGACTAAATTGGTGTGAATACATAAAAGCTCTCCCTAGCCGTAACATTTTGGTGCCGATTGTGTGGAACTGAACGAAGAGAAGCAAAAGCCGAGGATCGTTTTGTGTTGAAAATAATAATTGATTTCTTGATTTTAATGCTTATAACTCTGAGTTTCATTTGTGTTGATAAATAATGAGTACGAACGAACACTGATATATCGTACGAACGAACGTTGATAATATTATTTGAACAAGCGTTGATAATCTTTGTAAGCAAGCGTTGATAAGTATTGTGTGTATAACATGAATAGTACTGTGTAGACGAACATTGATAGGATTGTATAGTGAACATTGAATGAGGATAAAACGTTTTGCTAATAAGTGTAAACGAACGTCGCAACAGTAAGTGGATGAACAGGTATACAACAAGAGTATGAACGATTGTAGATACAAAAGTTGAAACGAACGTCGGTATAATAGTATGAACAACCGTTAGTACAATAGTATAGGCGTATATTCAAAAATGTGAAAAACAACCCTCTCCAAAATGAAATTTTGTCGAATAACCTGAATTATCAACTCCAACAGTTGCTTCAGACCAAGGTAGATACGTTGGAACGATCCAAAGAACCTCAAGCGAATCTTGGCGAAATAGATTTAGTAAAGATTCCAACGTTTAGTGAAGGAAAACAAGACCCTGTTGAATGGTTAAAGATGACTAGACAAGCCTTTGATACAAACAATATTCAGGGACAAGATGGCTTATAGCTGGAGGTGCCCATCTGTCTGGTCCTGCTGCGTCGTGATGGTCAAGCCAAAAAGCTAGGATACAATATTGGGACAATAAGGTGATAAAAGACCGAAGCTTTGTGCACCAATTTCGGCAAACATTTTACACACCAGCTCTAATTAATCAGTGGAACATGAAATTATTAAATCGCCGTCATCATCCTGGAGAGACAATAAAGCAATACGCTATGGATATGATGTCGCTGTTTGAACAGGTGGCTATTACAAAGCAGTATCCAGAAAACATGAAGATTCGAATGTTTATACAATGTCTTCATTCTGAATTAGCATTGGCAGCTAGATCCTTTATGCCCAATACACTTTTTGAAGCTGCTGAACAAGCCCAAAGGTGTGAAATGATGATCGCACAAGGATCTTCCTTGGCTTACCAAACTGAAGTGCCTTATTTGATGTGTCCATCAAGCCCTAAAGTAACAACCTCTGAACCTTCTACAACAAGAAGCCCAGTAGTACAAATAGCTACGTTGCTACAAGAATTCGTCTCTATGGTAAAAAGTAATAATGATGAAGTCAGTGTTGAAAAATATGAACTTAAGGCACCCATTAATCATCAAAAGTCAGCAATAATAGATTGTACTATGGGAACAAACGATCTTGGTTATAGTCATCAAGATGAAGTGAAAACTGAAGCAGATAAGCAATGTGAATTTGATTCTTACCAAAAGACTAGTAAGAGCGGGAATAAATCATTCGAATAGCACTTGGAATCTGTCAAAGAATATAATTCAGAGAAACAATGTAATAATAGGTTTTGTTATGAGAATAGATTAAAGTTGAAGGAGACAATTATAGGATACTCGAACAGAATTCTGATTCCTATAAAAGTGACAACCCGGGATTCATTAGAAACTGAAATTTGGATGAATTTTTGGTTTTTGAGGATCGTGCACAAAATAAAACTGACAATGAAAGACCTAAAGAAAACATTGACGAGATAAACAATTTTGGATATTGTTATAACAACAGAATCGTAGTAAAGGATGATCATAAAGCATTTGAGGAAAGTATAAAATTCATCGAAAGTGAAAAATTGTTAGTAGAAAATAAAGTGAAAGATGATAACGAAGGATTAGAAGGAAAGTCGGAAAGTATGATAAGGCAAATTGAAGAGTATGTGGATAAAAGTATTGAGAGTGGTGATCAAAACAATGCAGTTTACACAGATACAAAGGGCAAAATCATAATAGAAGTGAATAAAAGCAAAGAAATAGATAAAGAAGTTAATGAGAGTAGTGATGAAGTGAGTCAAACAAACGATGATGAAAAGAAAGGCTTACATTTGTTGAGAGACAAGCTGGCTCCAAAGATCGAATCTAAAAATAAAATACTTGACGATAAAACTATGGAAGATGGATATAGGTTGTTTAATACAAATGCATATGAAGAATTACTTACCAATTTAAGTAGATCCGCAAAATTAAGACAGAACAATGCAAATAGATATGCATTGTATACAAATCACTTTGGCAATAGAAATTTGAATGAACCATGTGGTGTTGGATGGTGTAATAAAAACGGCGAAATTGCGAATATAAATAGAGAAGAAATTCTCATATGGGATCCAAAAGCTAAGAAAGATCCAAATCGTGTTGACTGTGAAATAAGAAAACAATGTGAAAACATTGGGCTATATGTCTTCTAAGTAATTATGAAACGCCGGTTGGTACGGATAATAATCATGAAGAGAGAGTAAGTAGTGCTCTACCAGAAAGACTCTTGAACAAAGAAACACTGCAGCATGAATGTGAAGAATAGTTGAGAAGAGTCAGCAAATTCTGGATGATCACGTGCAAAGAAAAAGAAATGGAACTTACCCAAGAAATGGTGAAAACAATCGCGGAAAGTAGTAAAGTCGATGAACGATTTGATTTAGGAGCACATAGTAATCAAAATGGAAAAGGTCTTGGTGAAACAAATAATGAGCCAAAGAAAAATAAACAAGACATGTTAGTTGGTGACAATAACCATAACGATAAAAGAATTAAATGGCATCTGAAATATAATAAAGACAAACCTGAAGAGAAGATGGCATTCAGGATTCGGATGACAAAAATCGCATTAATAATAATATCAACACGTGGTCTTGTCAATTTGATCTTCGATCGTTGTAGAAACCTGAGAATTGAATTGAGCTGGATTAATATAATGAAAAACAGAAAGAGATTTTATTCAATTAGTATGATGAAACGCAAAAAAAAAAAAAAATACACATTATTAGTAATGCTAATAACATTATTTCGGGATACATTCAACAATACAAAATGAAATCAGAATTACTTAACTGATGAGGTACAATTGGAATTTTCGAGTTGAGAACAATTTACTTGAATTGGAATCATATGGTGGCATTCATATACCAAAAAAAAAAAAAAAAACGATACATGGTCCCTGGCTTAACGCATTACTATTTTGGTGCTAGAACGAATACTGAAATCAAACTTTGATGAAATGATAAGTGAGGCAAGAAGGTTGAGAGGATAAAAGTCAAAGGTTATTGATGGATTCAATGGAGCTCACCCTTTGAGAGGAGGAATATGTTACGAAAAATTTTGTCAAATTTTTCTCATCTTACATTTTCACTATATAGTTTCTTTACCCCCCTAAGTAAAAGCAGTAAACTACGTAGGCATGATAGTAATAGCGTTCAAAACCTGGGGTTAGGGTTTGAAACCTGGGATCTGGGTTCGAAACCCTGGGTCCAGGTTCGAAACCCAGATCCGGGTTTGAAACCCTTATACATCAAAATATATAATTAATACCTACCTAACTTTAACTCTAAGCTTTCACCCTAACTCTAAAACACCAATATTTAAGGTTTGTTATGCATACAACATTAATTACATTCTATATAATTATTTTATGACTTAAAATGAATTTTGTATATATATAGCATTTTTTAATTAAAAATTAATTGATAATCTATCTGTAAACTGGAATAGACAAAATGTGACATCTTTTATATAAAACTTTTTTTATTAAGTTAACAATATATGCCAACTAATTAAAAGTTGTAAAGCTTGTTGAAACATATCATCCAAATCAGCCTAGTGAATAACAAGATATTATCAAAAAACAATTGGTTGACTATATAAAAATCTATGCCAGAAATCATATATAAAAATCACTATCGGCAAAATATGCTGTAGTGTTCCAAATCTTTAGTTAAAAAATCAACTAGTTGCTAACTTTCCAACCAATCAATTTGAAAAAATTTTAAATAACTAATTAATTAATAATTCAACTAGTACAATTCTGAGAAATTCTATCTAGTTAGGCAGATCTGAATTAATTTCTTTAATTTGATTAGCTAATCATCTGATGATGTTATATAATGTAAACAATCGATTAGTTGCAACTATAGTTGGCAACTAATCAATTAGTAAAATATTTACCAACTTAGAACACTAGTCCAGGTGTTTCTTGTAACATAATACAAACTTTTACTTTAAACTCTTCAACAACATTTATACAATCTTCACGTACTGTCTTCTCACTTACTATCTTAAAATGCGGCTGCAAATTACTAACAAATATTAGAAACCTTTATGTTCAGCTATACTAAATAGATAACTATACTTAAAAATCATTTGTACAAAATCATTACGATTTTGTTCTTGAGAAAATTTACGAATTTTAAGGCCTGACGCTGATAATTTTAATGTTTGTTGTGATTTATCAACCTTTAAGTATTTTTTACACTTTGTTTTTTTCATATAACGAATCAAAGAACTAGTTTCTGTATCATTATTATATTTCAAGAAGTATTACAATGCGTACATCTGGCATAATCCACTAGCAAATTATACAAAAAAAATATTAACTAGTTTATAGATTTAATTACACCATATTTAACAAAAATTTTACTTTTTTGAGAATTGTCTTTAACAAAATGACCTTCTTCAAAGATCTATGAAATCAAGTTGTTTCTTTTATGTTTGTTGTTAACAGCAGTAGCTGTTTGTATACTTTCATTTATAGCAGTTTCTTCAAAATTTTCATTTATAGCGATTATTTCTGAATTTTCATTTACAGTGGTTATTTCCGAATTTTCATTTATATCAGTTATTTTAGGATCTTTAATTAATTCAAAGCTTTTATTATCGACAGTTATTTCAGGGCTTTCATTTTCACTAACTGAAAATAGATATAAAATATCTTATTTAGAATATATGATATATAGCTTCTTTAGCGTATCAATGATCAATGTACTGTAATCCATTTTCTACAAATATCACTAAACTATTATTTAAACACCAAATAATATAACCTAAAAAAATTATTTTAAATTAATATCAATTCTGATTCTATATCAATCAGTCAATCAAAAGAACAAAAAGAACAAACATCAAATTTTCAACATCCCACCTCAGCAGATTCTTGATAAGCAATCAAAAAAAAAAAAAATTCTATTAAGGTTTGCAATTTACAATGAATATATATAGAGCAAAATCTAAAAACCTTATTTTATATAACCTTAATCAAGTACAAAAATCTAGAATTCTCAATCCTTAAACATTTATATATACCAAATAAGCACTTATCAAGATAACAAATTTATCTAAATTATCTTGTACAATCTAAATACAGCAAAGATAGTGCACGATCAAAAATGAATCCCTCTCGCTTGTAATCAATTACAGATTAAATTATTTATGTTGGATTCAATTATAATGGATATAATCCTTCACCAGTTTTAATATATATATAACATTAATGGTCTCTGCTGTACAATCTAAATAAAAAAAATAACTCATTGAAGATAAGCTAAATTTGTCATTCCCAGTAGTAACTTGTTTAAGTTTTAGTACGTAGCATACATATGAATATTTGCTAGTATGTACGTACATACATATTTAGTTTTACATATTATTATCCATATAGGGAAAATAAGGTTTTAAATTTCTCGCGCATTTGTGAACAGGGTTCACATTATTTTGTATATTGTATTACATGCATCTTTTATATAAAGTAAGTATCTACTACAACATACCTGATATGTAATATTGTCATTGAAACGAAAACTTGCTTTGAAATCTTGTAGTGTGAGCAAAACCTGCTTCACTACCTTTACTTGGCGGCACTTTACTATTTACCTTCACCACTTGGATTATGAAATTTGTGTTTTATTACTTTATTTACTAATGATAAAAGAAAACCATGGGTTTACTAACCCTCTTTTTTCTATTAATACGCCATACTATCTAATATTACAAGTTTATAACACTTTATACATTATTATATATAAATTATAATTAACTCTGCATACATAAAGTTTACTGATTTAACCGATATAATGACACACTACCAATTACCACATTCTATCATATAAACCTCAATTATTGTGATCCATAGCATTAGTCATCGCTACAAAAAGATCGATATCAGTATTACAAATATTATAGATACTTATTTTAGGTACTTGTAAAAAAAAAAAAAAATTGCAACATTTTAGTTTTTTTTTAGCATTTTAATAGAGGTTTGCTAGGTTTGATTGGGCTACCCTGGGCTTGCTCAAAAAACTCAGGCCTGGCCCAGTAATTAGTGGGCCTAACCAAAACCCAGTCCATAAAATGTTAGGCCTAAAATAAGAGCCCAAACTAGGCCCAAACCTGGCCCAGCCTGTGAATTTCCGGGTTTGGCCTGGCCCATTCTGGACCCTACTCATGATCAAATTACACCTTGTAATTAAATTACATCTCACGATCAAATTGCATCTCATAACCAGGTTATATCTTATAGTCAAACTATGCCCTATCAAACTATATAACCAAATATGTTACCAACTATACTATCAGGTTTTAATTCTTACACATATCCTTATAATTCATTTTATTATCAAGTATCTCAACTTCAAATACCTCAACCTCAAATACTTCAACTTCAAATATCTCAACCTCAAATATTTCAACCCCAAAATATTACTAAATATAATATTTTTTTAAATCAATTTTTTTCTGAATTAAATCAAATTTATAATGATAAAGACACATATATTACTTTAAGAAAATCGTTTGAAGAATAAAAGTTTATAGTAAATAGTATAAAGGAGTTGACAGATAATCAACTAATTAAATTAGATGTAACTAAAGTTGGATAAAGAGTTCCAGATGCTTACTATAGCTTTAGAACTAATTTTCCTCAAGTCATCATTGCTAGAGCTTTCTATACCCACAATTCAGCTAATCTAAACTTTCAGTAACTTATACCAAGTCTAAGAATGAGTACTTGCAAGCCAAAGCCACTATAGTATCATTATCTACTTCTGTTTTTGTAAAGTTCACCCAAACCTCAGCACCCATTTTATGGTTTATTTATCATTTTTCTAATTTCTCAAACTCCCAATTCAAATAGTCTAGAAAGGCAAACTCCTTCCTAAAAATACACCAATAGTCTGGTTGATATAGTGTCTTGCCAAACACCTTGGTTCCCAGTTCTTTGATTGATAATTCTTTATATAGCACCATTAAAAGTCTGTGCTATCTTTCTACTTGGGACTTTCTAAGCAGACTTCTGTATGTCTAGCCTTTAGATTTACTTAGCTTCTTTACTCAAATTTTGTGTAATTTATACAACACACTAAAATGTTCTACAGCCTCCTAGTACAAACTGATACAACCAAAGCTACAAATCCAATAATCTATCAAATAATACAGTCTGCTATAATATATTCTGTAAAATTTGAATTTCATTGCTAGTGAGATTCAAACTTTTGTTCTGCTACTTGGAAGTGCAACAACTTACCAACTTTACTAAGTCGCTACACCCTTTTACAAATTATTTTATTATAATTTTTATAATTAATTATATAAAAAAACCCTTTATAATAGTTATATTTCTATATAATTACTTCTTTTTATATCCTAAAAATATAATTATATAAGGGTGTGATGACTTAGTAAAGTTGGTAAGTTGTCGCACTTCCAAGTGACAGGACAAGAGTTCGAATCCCACTAATGACGAAAATTCGAATTTGCAGAATATATAATAGCAGACTGTATAACATATCAATTGGATCAACATCTGTAACCTTGGTCTCACCAACTTATATTGGGAGGTTGTAATACATAGTGTAATATATAAGTTATACAAATTCTGGGTGAAGCAGCCAAATTAATTTAAGAGATCAGGTGATATGAAAGTCTGCTTAAAAGTTCTGAGTAGAAAGGTAGTACAGATCTTTAATAGCACTATGTGAAGAACCATTATCTGGAGAAACAGACACTGAAAGCAAACTAAACAAAGACTGAGTGTTTGGCAACTACTCTACCAATTAGGCTGTCAGATAACTGGAGGAAAAAGAATTCATTTAGAATATTAGGTGATGTTTACTGGTTCCTCCCAGAATATCTGAATTAGAAGTTTGGAGTACTGATGATTAGCATCAAAGTACTATTGATAGTCTATAAAGTGAGTACTAGGTTTGGGTAAGCTTTGCAAAAGCAAGGAGTAAGTGACAATAATAAAGGTAAAATACTACAAGTACTTGGCTGTGGTCGAGACATAAGTTACTAAAAATCTTAGTGATACATGTATAAGATATAAACTGTTCTAGTAGATTTATTATGAGAATAAAATAGTCCTAAGAAGCCTTAGCAGCAGTTCCTCTTTGGAAAGAATATTCAATAGTGCTAAGTTGATTAGAGGGTTTAATTGAGTAACTCAAATAATAGTAAATTATAGGTACAGTATCTAGTATAGAATCTAGTAATAGGCAGACTATTTAAATTAGGCACTCAAAAGATACAGATATAGCTAGAATGTATCTTCATTAATATAACAAAATCAGAAATAGCTCTTTGGTTGCCTTGGTATTCACAACCAAAATTAAAAAATATGCCAGACCCCAAAGTAGTCATCTTAACATTAAAAAAAAAAGTATAATTATATAAAAATTAAACTATTACTATATAATTTATACAAAAATTATTGATATTTAAATTGCTATAACTAAGAAACAGAAGTCAAATAAATTAAGTAAAAATATTCAAAACCTTCAAAAACCTTATATAATCTAAATTTTGAACTATTATATCTAAATTTGTTATAGTATTAAACTGCATTCTAACAGAACTCCAAAAACTCTGATATAACTCAAATCTGAATTTGTATAATATTAGCCAAATAGGCATATAAATGACCAAAAATTAAAAATTTACTATATAAAAATGCAATGTTTAATAAATTTCTATACAAAATTTCCTTTTTAAAAACATCTAAATTATATTAAAGTCAAAATCAATAACTAAATATCTTCAGGTCAACTCTTTCCGCTGATCATCAAAACACAAATTTTTCAAAACACAAAATTAATAAAAACTACAAAAGACACAGAAAGCTACTAAGAAACGAATCTCAGAGCTCTAAAAAAAGAAGAAGAGGACTACAAGAAACACTTAGTCTCTTAGGAGACTTGAGTAAAAGGAACAGAAGTAGCAAAGAAATAGAAGTTGTGAAAAATCGTCAATAATTTTTTTGCACTTTGAGAATTTTTGGGGAATCAGCCTTGATCCTGAATTGCAGATCTGTTTTGGTAGTACAAGAATCACAATGCGTAATGAAAAATAAACAAGGAAAACACACCAAAAACCACGTGACAAAAATAAGCAATAGAGGTAAACAATTGCAACAAGTAGCAACAACAAACAACGATAACCAAAAAACAACAAGTCACGTGAAGCAGAAGTTAGTTCAAGTTGCTG